TCTGGTATACCAAGTCAATATACTGTGAGTCTGTTCCATTTTGGAATATTATTATTCATTGTTATTCTTTATTTGAATTTTATATATTGTGATACACTTTTTTCGCGAATTTTTTTTCTCGGATATATTTTAATTAGACATATTTCGTTATCTATATTACTATGACGGAACGCTCTCCTAAGGTTCTTAAGTTCAAGTCTATTCCCCCTATTTCGATTCAGTTAACGCCATTTTGGCCCGACAATATCGAGTCCTGGTTCTGCTATGCAGAAGCCGATTTTTGCATGTACGGAATCACGAACTCGCGCACACGTTTCCTCGCGGTAGTTAAGTCGTTACCGCGCGATTTTAACAGGTACGTAACACCTAGTATGTTTACTAGATGTCACGTCAGTCGACCCCGTCTGACATAACCGAACTATGTCACACGCTCACAAGATATCTTACAGTTCGTAATGACCGTAGTAGGTCAAAATCCTCACGTAGGAGCGCTTCACGTGAGAGATCAGTCTCTCGACCACGAGAGACAGACAACCCCGACTGGTGCTGGTATCACAACCAGTACGGTAAATCCTCTAGAAATTGCAGGAAGCCCTGCCATTACCCGAAGTCAAAGGCAACTGACACGAATAAGATTTCGGGAAACTTCTCAGCCGGCACGCGTTAACGGCAACCGTAGCCGGCGAACACAGCCGTCTGTTATACGTCACAGATGTGACCACGAAATTTCGCTACCTCGTCGACACTGGCGCAGAAGTTAGCGTTCTTCCAGCAAATCCCGACGACAGACTTCGCGAGTCTTTAAGTTTTAAGTTTACAGGCGGCAAACGGAAAGCCGATCGCTACTTACGGTAAAAGGTACGTCTACCTTAACGTGGGTTTACGCAAACCCATACACTGGATTTTCGTGGTTGCAGATGTCTCTATGCCAATCATTGGTATCGATCTGTCACAACACCACAATCTACTCATCGACACACGCTCACGAAAGTCAATAGACGGAAACACTAAGTTATCTGTTAGCGTAACTCTTTGTTCTGGTTGCAGGTTATCCCCAGTCACGACTAAGCACACTATAGACCCCTTGTACCAATCAGTACTCGACAAATACCCCGGGATATACCAATTGCAATCGAAATCGCCTTTTGTAACCAGCAATGTTACACAGCACATCTCGACTACAGGACCACCTGTATTCTCAAAAGCCCATCGACTCGCTCCCGAAAAACTTAGGTTAGCTAAAAACGAATTCGACCATATGATAGACTTAGGGATAATTCGACCATCGAATAGTCCATGGTCATCCTCATTGCACATGGTCCCAAAAAAAGACAGCAATGATTGGCGTCCAACTGGTGATTATCGGCATCTGAATGCTAAAACCATTCCCGATCGTTACCCGCTGCCTCATATTCACGATTTGACAGCTACCTTGAAAGGTACAACTGTCTTTTCGAAAATCGACTTGGTTAAAGCTTATAACCAAATCCCGATGGCACCTGACGACATTCCTAAAACCGCCATCATCACTCCTTTCGGTCTTTACGAATTCTTGCCAATGCCTCTTGGTTTAAGAAACGCGGCTCAAACCTTCCAAAGGTTTATAGACGACGTCTTTCGAGGTCTCAACTTCGTACATGCGTATGTTGATGACTGTCTAATAGCACGTCCGGACAGAGAATCACATCTCAAGCATCTGGACATTGTTTTTCGATCGACTCCAAAGGCATGGCATTACTGTCAACATACAGAAATGCCGAATCGAAACAAACTCCTTAGACTTCCTAAGACATACCATTGATGCTCAAGGCATCCGACCCCTTAGGAGCAAAGTGGCGGCTATTCTGGATTACCCAGAACCTACCACGATCAAGCACTTACGAACTTTCAACGGACTTGTAAGTTTCTATAGACGGTTCATACCTAAATGCGCATCCCTAATGAAACCGTTAACCGATCAGCTTCGTGGAAATGCTAAATCAATTAGTTTAGACGACATAGCCCGTAAAGCATTCTCCACAGTTAAGGAACACATCGCTAAAGCAACCTTGCTTGCTCATCAGGACACTCAAGCGCCCATTAGTATCGCAGTAGACGCATCCGACTCAGCAATCGGAGGAGTCTTACAACAATAGGTTAACAACTCGTGGCAACCCTTAGGATTTTTCTCGAGACGGTTGCTAGACGCGGAATCTAGGTACAGCACGTTCGGTAGGGAACTCCTAGCTATGAATTGTGCTGTACGGCATTTCCAACATTCCATCGAAGGAAGAGAATTCACGCTTTTTACCGATCACAAACCTCCTACCTTCTCTTTAAATTCATCTTCAGACAAGTACTCACCGCGAGAGTCTCGACAACTCGACTACATTTCGCAGTTTACTTCAGGCATACAACACATTTCTGGAGCTAACAATGTAGTCGCAGACGTCTTGTCTCGAATAAGTTCCTTGAACAGTTTCCAAGGAATCGACCTTCTTAAACTCGTTCAGCCTGGCATGAATAAAGACGTGAGGGAGTGGGCACGCTCCTGTGTAAGCTGTCAGAAATCTAAGGTAATCAGACACAACAAATGTCCCTTAGGCTCTTTCAAAACCCCTGACGCTCATTTCGACCACGTCCATCTAGATTTGGTAGGACCCTTACCCGACTCGAACGGTTACTCATATCTCCTAGCATGCGTAGACCGTTTCACTCGATGGCCAGAAGCAGTACCGATTAAGGACATTACTGCTGAAACCGTGGTCCGCGCTTTCGTCGAACGATGGGTAGCAAATTTCGACTGCCCCTCAACCATCACTACAGACCGCGGGCGCCAGTTCGAATCTGGACTTTTCCGTTGTCTGACCTCACTTTTAGGAATCACGCGCTTCCGAACGACCGCCTACCACTCACAAGCAAACGGGTTGGTAGAACGTTTTCATCGACAATTAAAAGCTTCATTATCAGCTTCAAACGTTTCACAGTGGACAGACGCTCTTCCACTCGTCTTGCTAGGTATCCGCAATGCAGTGAAAGCTGACATTGGATACACTACATCTCAACTTATTTATGGAACGACACTCCGACTCCCAGGAGAATTAGTCTTTCCTTTGTCTTCTTCAGTGAACATGGATCTAGACTCCTACACGAGTAGGCTTGCAAACGCTATGCGTTCAGTTAAACCTGCTCACACTCGATCTCAATCAACTGATGTTTTCGTTCAACCCGAATTACGACATAGTACATACGTCTTCGTTCGTCGAGACTCACATCGACGACCCCTCGAATGAGCATACGAAGGACCCTTCAAAGTTCTCCAACGCGAACCTAAGTACTATGTAGTCGATAAGAACGGTACGAACGATAGCATCAGTATCGATCGACTCAAAGCAGCGTACTTATAAGGAAACTCTAGCTACGTCGATTTTCCTTCGGTACAAGCAAACGACACAGCCACTACACTCGTAGTACCCTACACGACAACCGACACACAACTTGATACTTCGTCAACGTCGATAGATAAACCTAAAACAACGCGTTCTGGAAGACGAGTAAGATTTCCAGAACATCTTATAGAATATTGCACGTAGGACATAAGCTTTATCTTGAATTACCCTTTCATAGTTTATTACAAAAATTTTTTTAATATGCTCATTTTTTTATTTATATAAAAAACAAAACAAAATTATATATATATTTTTTATATATAAAAAAACCCCCAAAAAAAACATTTTTTTTTCCGATCGCTTTTACGCTGTTTGTAAGTGTATTAGTTTTTTTTTCCGCTCATCTTGTGTCCTTACGCAAGTACGAGTGTATTTTCGACATGCACTCACACGTTTTATTTTTCCTCTTTTCCAGGACGGCTGGAAAAGAACGACGAAGTTTCGCAAGGAACCGACATTTTCATTGTACTATATTTCGTTATTGCTATGTTGTACATTTCGGTCCCGTAGTTTAGGGAAAAACGACCAGACGCTGCTAAACGAAGCAAGCTACCAGAAGAGTGTTTACCAACGACAAACTCGTCGGGTTTAAACTTCTGGCTGATCAAGTCCTAGGGGCATCACTACCTCACAAGGGGGGAGTGATCTGTAGCTGTAAATAATTCCCCAAAATCAATAGCTCATTAAGTGTTCGACATTGGATGCTGGCCACGTTGTTTAAGTGGACTTGTTTAGCTGAAGGCTTTCGGTCATGCATCCATACCAGATCACGTTGCAACACGGCGTGGAACACAGCTCCTACGTTCATTAGCCAGCTTACAGTAAAGGTTCCTCGATATATTGGTGACGCATCAAATATATCTTTCCTGCCTCTCCTCATCTGACTTCTGGTTTCTATTCGACTGGGAAAGAACGATTATAGAAGATACTACTGGTTGCTAGTTGCCAAACTAGAATATCCGTGGTATCCTCAATGAAAACATGCTCACCAGAATTTTCATGCACATTGAGCGATGATCTAACATTGTTTTGCAGATGGCCTCAACTGGTTGTAAGAGTTTATCAGACCGCATACATGATGCCGCGATGGTATAAGAGAAGGCGAAAATTTCCAATTCAGGGTCAGTAAATGCAGTCAGATCCTCTAAATCTTCAAAATATTATACAGAGAGAGCCCAGCGACCTGCTAGCAATCCTCCATCACTACATCGGTTTTGTGGAGCGTGTCATTTCGTAAAATCCTGTCTGTTCAAGGATCACAAGTGCCGCCACTGTCGTCCAATTGGTCATAAAGAAGATCGCTACATTAGTAAACATTTTTAAGTAGGACCCGAATGTTCACTGTAAAACAAGCTGAAAGGAATAAAACTTGTCTCTCGACCTAATATACTTCTTACTGAAAACTGAATACAAAAATTGGCGTGAGACACCAAAATGAAGACCCCCGAAATACTCTATAATACATAGTATCTGAGCGGAAACTTGTCGGTTTGCTTATTTTTTATGCCTTACTTCATTACTTCGTAACGGCGAGACAAGCATAGAACTCGTTGAATCAAATCCGATCGTTTTATACCAAGGTGAAGCTAGGCGGTGTATTTAAGTTTTCTGTGTTGCATGTGGTGATGCTGCGCCGCCGCTGGGTTTCTGGATGTCTTCCGAACCTCCGAGAGTCATCGCATTAATATACTGTTTGACATACGTATGAGCGATCCTCCTGTACTAGATGAACCTTCAGATGTTAATAAGGTAAAATTTGTTTTTCACTTTTTCTAGCGTACTGAGGTTGTTGCAAATTTCCCGTTTAAATGTCTACTTAAGAAAATATAGGGACGTTTTTTCGTTATTCACCTGTTTTTTGTACCTCTTGCGTCCACGCCATGCCAAACACCCACTTTCCTGAGTAGTATGCTAAATGGAAATTACTTTGAAAATGTACGTTGTTTTTTATCTTCAAGTATTTAGTTGACGCGCAGTTTATTGATCAGTATCTATCACAAGAAAAGCAAGCATCTAAATGATTAAGCTTACGACATTTCTGTGTGAAGGCTTCTGTTCAGTGATGTTTCACTGATTTGAACTATTCAGCTGCCAGAACTTCGTGTTTTAAGTTTCACTCACTGCCTTCTCTTGGCGAGGGTGTTGTTTACCAAATTTTAAGAACGAAAAGTGGAACAAATGCGTATGAACCTATTGTTGATTACCCGCCACCATGTGACTGCATCTCCTAACGTTGCTTCACTGCCTTGTTGATTAGACATGTAGGTGTGTATTTTGAAACTAAAGATAGAAGTTTTAATGAAAGGAAGTTTTCATGTGTATTGTAACCTAGTTGACTTGGTGGATTGAGATTTATGAGTCTTTCTTAAATGTTGTATATCATGAAACATATACTTAATTTGCCGACGTGATCACACACGTTATTCCAATATTTGCTGTTACCATCCCTGGGATCAAATAAAATATAAGGTTGGAAACTGAAGAAACCTCAGTTGCATGTATGTAATACTTTTTGGATCTCTACAAATCAGAAATGACACCTGTCACAAATTTCATGCTCACATTATTCACATTGTTACCTATCCAGTATCCAGATATTTTCAACTTCATTTGTTTGTGTGTAGGCTGTGATACTGCCCGGGTGCCCAAACCGAAGCAGGTGGTTTTCTTAGGGGACCACACCCCGAGCCTTTGACCAAAAGGTCTGATCCACAAGGCAGTGGAGCATCGTGAGGAGATGCAGTCCCATGGTTGCCGTTGACCAACAGCAGGTTCTTCCGCCATTCGTTCCATCAGGATACTGGAGCCCATGTGCACCATTGGTTTGGAATCAGGGTTTTCCAACTCCCCTAGGTGGACCCTCCGTGTCCACCAACCCGGTTAAAGCGCCGGACATTCGCTTTTCGTCCTCTCACTTTCGTAAACAACACCCCCGCCACGAGAAGGCAGTGAGTAGGACTTCCCTGGCAGAGGCTATATATTCGCTGGCCATGTGAGAGCATTTCGAGAGGGAAAGTAGACTCTCCCCACTCTCGTCCTCTCACTTTCGTGGTGGTGACTTTCTGGCTAAGGAACTGACTGCGTTGTTTGGAAAGGTTTGGGAGCAAGAAAGTGTTCCAACATCTTGGAATGAGTCAATAGTCGTCCCTATCTTTAAAAAGGGTTCACGTTGTTCCTGCAATAACTACCGGGAGATAAGTCTACTTTCGATCGCGTCCAAACTATTGGCTTCTATCATTCTTCGTAGGTCGTTTAAAACCCGAGAACGATTGACTCGCGAGGAGCAGGCTGGTTTTCGTTCTGGTCGAGGATGCATTGATCACATCTTCACCCTCCGCCAAATGTTAGAACACCGTCATACTTATCGCAGGCCAACAATCGTAGTGTTTCTTGATATCAGGGCGGCCTTCGATTCGTTGGACAGGACTGTTCTCTGGGATTGTCTATTGAAGAAGGGTGTACCTGAGAAGTTCATTAACATCTTAAAGGCCCTGTATACGAACACCTCAGGCAGAGTGAGGGCATACAACCACTTTTCTCCCTTGTTCCATTCGAGCAGTGGGGTTAGGCAGGGTTGCCCGATCTCCCCATTCCTCTTCAACTTTGCCATCGACGACATCCTAGAAACAGCTCTGATGGATGTAAGTAATGGCGGTGTGGATATGTTGCCTGGAGAACGACTTCTCGACCTTGAGTATGCGGATGATATTGGTTTACTGTGCGATAATGCCCAAGGCATGCAATCAGCACTTAATCAGTTGGCAATCAGTGTCCGCAGGTACGGCATGTGCTTTGCACCCTCCAAGTGCAAAGTACTTCTACAAGACTGGCAGGATTCTCATCCTGTACTCACCCTGGATGGTGAGGAGATCGAAGTAGTTGAGAAGTTCGTGTATCTAGGTAGCTATATAAGTGCTGGTGGTGGCGTGAGTGATGAGATTGATGCACGTATAATGAAAGACAGAGCGGCTTATGCCAATCTGGGCCATCTTTGGCGCCTTCGTGATGTTAGTCTGGCTGTAAAAGGTCGGATCTACAACGCGTCGGTGAGAGCAGTTTTGCTCTATGCTTGTGAAACCTGGCCTCTCCGAGTTGAGGATGTTAGACGTCTCTCTGTGTTCGATCATCGTTGTCTCCGAAGGATTGCTGACATACAGTGGCAACACCATGTTAGTAATGCAGAGGTTCGGCATCGTGTGTTCGGGCGCAGAGACGATAATTCAATTGGTGTCACCATCTTGAAACACCGACTTCGGTGGCTTGGACATGTTTTACGAATGTCGTCCCAGAGACTTCCGCGTCGTGCATTATTTGCCGACCCTGGGACTGGTTGGAGAAAGCGGAGAGGAGGTCAGTGTATGACATGGTGTCGTGGCATGAAAGAGAGCTGCAAAGGGCTAGCTTCTGTTGGTCCTTCACGACTCCCTGGTTGGGGTCCGAGAGATAGTGCAACACAGTGGCTAGAGACGTTATCGGATATGGCTCAGAATAGAAGCCAGTGGCGATCCTGCTGCAACCTTCTTTTACTTTCTACATAAAGAGTGGTTCTAACTTTCCTAACTGAAAGAATCTTCTGGTTGTACATTTCAGCCCGCCTTATCTTTTCATCCTTTATCTACCTACTTTCATTATTTTGTGTGGCGCATATGTACCTGGTGCCCTTTTGTACCAATATATATGTGTTTAAATAAATAAATAAATAAATTTTTTCAACTAATCCTCACTACTCATCATTATTTTGTAGACATACTATATTATGTTCTATTTAAACACATAAATATTGGTACAAAAAGCACCAGATAAATATGCGCCTCACAAATTTCATTTTATTTGTGTGAGGGCTGAGATACTGCCCAGGTGCCCAGACTGAAGCAGGTGGTTTTCTTAGGGGGCCACACCCCGAGCCTTTGACCTAAAGGTCTGATCCAAAAGGCAGTGGAGCATCGTGAGGAGATGCAGTCCCATGATAGCCGGTGACCAACAATAGGTTCATACGCCATTCGTTCCATCAGGATCCTGGAGTCCATGTGTACCATTAGTTTGGATACAGGGTTTTTCAACTCCTCTAGGTGGACTCTCCATGACCACCAACCCGGTTAAAGCGCCGGACATTCGCTCTTCGTCCTCTCACTTTCGTAAACAACACCCCCGCCTCGAGGAGGCAGTTAGTAGGACTTCCCTGGCAGATGCTATATACGCGTGGCCACGTGAGAGCATTTCGAGTGGGAGAGCGGACTCTCCCCACATTCGACCGTATCAGGGCATTTGGGGGCAAGGACTGTAGACATACTGCTTTAAATTGTTTATGTTAGCAGACACAACGTTAGTTTCTTCCTGTGTTACAGCTCTTGATATTCTGATAATATCACCCACTTAAAACCTGTTTTCCAACCCCCTAAATATCTACTTGCTAATCTGTTAAATTTACGTTTGGCTTTTCTAACCTGTGGACTAACGTTTGGTTGTTACTTACATGTATTGTAAGAATAAACAATACCAAATTACTGCTCACATACTAAGCATCAGTTCCACAAATGAAACGCCCGAACCTTATGACTAACACCGATTTAGCGAATAAATGGATACAATATAAACTACCAAAATATTTCAAAATGAGAGATGTAAAGTAGTGCATATGAGGTACTTGAATCCGTGACCCGAGTCCTTCATCCGCTAACCTTCATCTAAGGTATATGTTATACTGCCAGGACAATTGTAGACTTTGGTGTTAGCAACTTTTTTATACTGTTATTAATTTTTAGTGTCTGAGTCTAATGCCGTAAATGTTTAGGTATTAGAGCTAATGATCCAAGTAGTAGAAAGTCCTTTAAAGCATTCCAATAATGTGGAATAAATTGTGCAGTTTGTAACAATTACTCTCTTACATTTGTCTATTTAAAATAGCCTTAAGTTACAACTAATATTAACATTAAGACTCTGTATTTCTGTTGATCGATATTAAGTGTGGGAAGAAAAAATCTAGCTTTATTGCTACTTACACTTAGTTGACCTAATGGATAAGCCTTCTAATTATCTTGCTTAGATTTCCAGCCATCAGCTTGTTACCAATACAGGTGTATCGACTGATTTATATTTACTTGGAAGTAGTTAACACTAACTAAACGCATCTTTTCGGCCTTTTTTAAAAATCGTTTTTCAAGTCGTAACATCTATCAGTTACCAATATTTTTTTCAGACAGAACTATTTAATTTGGATAATCTTTGTTATCGAGATGAAGGAAATAATACAATCGTAGTATCCAATACAAAGGTTTGTGAAACTTTCCAAATAAATCATTTTTATAGACTAGTTTGATATTGCGAATTCGGAAAACCAATGTTGGACGAAATGTAAGTAATACTGCCATGTGACTTGTTACTAAGGGTTTTACTCCAGGGATACTGGTCCAAGGCTCACACCAAACGATCCGAGATATTTGCAAATCAGCGTATACTTCTTCAGTTTGGTTCTCAATTTCTTCGCAGCATAGTAAGTTTGTTAAGAGTTTATTAGTCACTAAATTTGGAGTTCTGTTTTATTTGGGTTCTTATTATTATTGTCATTAGCTTTATTTAATATTATATTTTTGGTATAATACAGAATTCTTAGCACAAAGTATTTCAGTGAGTTTCCGTTTCTTATTTAATGATCGATATTGACTGTAAATATTGAGTGATCGCTAGTTAGATGTTAGCATTTTAGAAGTCGACATCTGAATAGTATTCATTCTTTTCAATGCACATTGCTAGCCATCAAGATGTCTCCGGTTGTAAATTTTTGTAACTTATACAGCAAAATTTCGTAAACTTTTCACAAACGCACCTGAATAGGTTATGCAATTTATTGACGTAATGATCTGTTAAAACAAGCAAGGGAACAAATAACTTGTTAAAATATCTCGATGGCAGGAACAGGTAGCCCAGATGTTCAAGCAGGCCGCCCGGGTATTCACTAACCATTCCTTTGTGTCTAAAGTGAATGTGTCCCATTATTTTTAAACCCAATATTTTTTGAAAGTTTTTAAGTAATAACTATGTCTCATCAACACTGTGATCATCTGCGTAACACATTGCAAGCAGCAATTTTTCACATATGATGTAATAATAACATGCATACTACGATGGAAGTAGATTGGATATCACTCTGTAAATTCGTTGTTTGGGTGAAATGAATCCGTCTGTTTATGTTAGTCGGTAAATAAAGAAATCAAATAAAACAACTTGATCTATTGTAAATAGCACATTAGGCTGATCGTTTATTATCAAGCCGGTTTTTTTCAGCGCACCGTCTTTCAGTCAGTAGGACCTGTTTCAAGTGATTAATTGGTTATTCTCATACAGTATAAAGCTTGTGGTTGGCGTCGAGTCGCGATTGACTTTGATCACCACCACAGGAAGATTACCTGCTAGGTGTTAGTTTAGGCCAAAAACAAGAAGGCAGTTGACGGCTGTAATAAGATACATTTGTTGCGATCTCGTGGTATCGGAAGAATACTGAGATCGTGCCAAAGTTTACAAGCGGAACTACCGGGCGTATAAAAGTTCGTGCAAGGTCATAATCAGAAGAATGTGTGTTATTGATACACTTAAACAAACAGATACAGTAAAGCAATCACTGGTACAATTGGTTATGTTAATAATTGCTTCCATTATACCAATCACGTTCTCGTCATAAAAGTAGGTCACTACAGACTTATAAAATTTGTTAAGCAATTAAACATGCTAATTGAATTCTAATCTTTTGCATATAATGATGATTTTCTGGAAATAACTAGTTCACTTGTCATGTGTGACATTTTATACGTTAGTACTTTTCAGATAGGCAAAGCGGTTTCCATCACATGATCTTTGTTTTAAATTGAATAAGCATGTGCTTTAAAACCTATTTTGACTATTAATAGTCCTTGCACTAATCAGAAATCAATAATAGGTTTTTAGTTTGCACTCTGCTAATTGATAATTTCACCAGTATATTGACCTATTTAAAAGGAATGTGTTTTTTGCGGTGTGGCCATTGTCCACTTCTTGTTTTATACATTAACTTGTGTTTTTGAATAGTTTTCACTTACTGATCTGCTGAAATACTATTATTATTTTATTCACGAGCGTAACAGCTTATAAGGTTAGCATCCTATTACCAATTTGACTTTACGTTTTAGATTTGAGTTTTTATAAACACCTTTAGCTGTTAAAATGATCAACAGAATGCTGGTCTATAGGTTATGCGCAATTATACAATATAGCTAGTTGATAACGGTTTATTATACTGGATTATTGTCTCAAGCTTCTGAATGAGCTGATGTCAAAAGGCAGCAGTGATCTGAGGCGCAGGTACTTCCTTTAACGAAATTATCTAGTTGTGCGTGTAGTGTTAAACACAAAAGTGGAAGTGCTTGGATATTTGAAACAGGTAATTGAAACATTTTGGTTTTGTATGTCACTTTCGGGATATTCCTTTGTCAAAAGATAACTTCTATTATTATTATTATTATTATTATTATTATTATTATTATTATTATTATTATTATTATTATTATTATTATTATTATTATTATTATTAATGCATTATGTTCACTAGACTTGTTTTTTTATTTCTAATAACGTCATTTTGGTTTTAATTTGCATTTTAGCATCTCATCAAAACAAGTCCCACGTTTCTTCGTGAACTAGGAAAATCAATCGAACCTTTTAGACCCGGTAAATGGTTCTTCATAGCCTTTTTTTCTTATTATTGTACAAATGATATTCTATGATGTATTTAAATTTGAATAAGAACATTGCGTTTTTAACGATCAGATGTTCTCTTGAGGATGACTTTTTCCATTGAATATACTAACTGGATTATTTTTCCAATGAATAGACTAATAATTTCCAAGTTACAAAATGCTTTCGGAAACTTATTGCTCATATATTGCGATTATAGCTGTACTGCTCAACTCTTCAGAAAAAATCTTCGAAGTCATAAGCTTCTTCGTGTTTAATGAGTTCAGACAACCATCTTTTACAAATATCACTAAATAAATAGGTCATCGTAAGTCTGTTTTGCTATGCTATACGCTTATGATACTTAGTATGATGGTCAATTTGTTTGTCAGGCGGATTTTAATGTCCTTGGAATTTAGTTTTATACATCAGCATTATTGCTTCCTTACCTACCTGATAGGCATAATTAAACCAATTTCCAATAAAATGGGAGAACGTTCGGAAGGATCATTGACAGTGACTCTATCTAAATCGATTCAGACAACGCTCTCAGGAATCCAGAAAATGACTTGTTTTATGTAAGATAAACTTCCGTCTCCGTCCGAAACAGTTCTCTTCATACCTAGGTATCAAACGGAGAACTGAGAAATCCTATCTGTAGTCAGGATTTATTTCAAAGATATATGCCAATAAGAGACTGATCGATTGCACTCCTGAACATCAATCAGAAGTTTCAAACAAACGATACAAAAATGAATTGAAGATTTATTTCATTTAAAATAAATCAAAATTATTTATCATATCAGATGCAGTTGTGAGAACTGTAAACAGGAATGATAAAACGACGTTGTTCCCCCAACAACTCCCTAATTGTTCTGACGTAATCATCCAAATAACAAGCAACAATAAAAACTTAACCAAGTAGAGCTATATTTCCCTTGGTACACGATATTACCCCGACATTAACCTGGACAAACACGAATGATACATGTTCTTGGGAAAATTAAGTTTTCAACTCTACTTCATTAGTCTTCTGAATGCAGAACTGCATAATACAACAAGTTAAGAGTTGAGTTTTTCCATTGTTGCAACCAAAACTACCGATTTTTTGGAAAGGTATACTACGTTATTGAGCGCCAGAATAACAGTCATTTAACTTGTAGAATATTAAATTAGAGGAGATTTTTAATCGCAATACTATTTTTGTGGTTGTCCGTAGTTTTTGTACACAAAGCTAAACTGCGTGTATTATGTATGAATGTGGTCTCCATTGTGTGCGAAATCAGTAAATGGAGAGAAATCTCAAAATCGCCTTTAGCAGTGAGGGTGTAGTGACTGTACTTTATTTCAAAAATCCAAATCCTTATATCCTTGATGTTATTCAAATATCCTCCTTTACTTTGTTTTTTTCACTATAGCCTACCGTAAAGTCAAAGGAGTGGACCTTTCTGAGAATTTTGTTTTTGTCACATCAGATGCAACACAGATGCCATCACATCTTGTGGAATATGCCTTCGGTCCAACTTTAAGCGTAGAAATTAAGGTAAAAATCATATTTTTCAAATCGTAATATATTTTAGTTGTTAAGGGGGTTGGTCACCAAGTTGGGAGTTTAATTATGAAACATATTACTTTTAATTAAACAATAAAAACGATTGAGGATGTCAGTTATTCAGGTTATATTGGTGTTTTCAAGCAAATTCTACGCAACAGATTGCTTTGATACAGTTAAATTAGTTCCTATGAACGTTCCTATTGGAAAAATGTGTTTAGCCACCGCGTTATCTGACAATTTCCATTTAATTGACTACGAATAATTTCATGATTATTGTGTGCACTAACTACGTATCATGGAGCATTATCTTTATCACGAACTTAAACTATTGGTAGCTGTAATCTGCCCCCAAATGCCCTGGTACGGCCGAGAGTGGGGAGAGTCACCTCTCCCTCTCGAAATACTCTCATATGGCCAGCGAATATATAGCCTCTGCCAGGGAAGTCCTGCTCACTGCCTTCTCGTGGCGGGGGTGTTGTTTACGAAAGTGAGAGGACGAAAAGCGAATGTCCGGCGCTTTAACCGGGTTGGTGGACACGGAGGGTCCACCTAGGGGAGTTGGAAAACCCTGATTCCAAACCAATGGTGCACATGGGCTCCAGTATCCTGATGGAACGAATGGCGTACGAATCAACCGTTGATCACCGGCTACCATGGGACTGCATCTCCTCACGATGCTCCTCTGCCTTGTGGATCAGACATTCAGGTCAAAGGCTCGGGGTGTGGTCCCCTAAGAAAACCACCTGCTTCAGTCCGGGCACCTGGGCAGTATCACAGCCCCATCCCGTAGAAAATCAACTCGCTAAAAAAACGCTAACCAGAAAAAATCATTCAAACCTTTCAAACTATGCCCTGGGAGTAGAAGGAATAATTATGACGTCTCATGATGAAAGCCGAGCTCCTTCGGAAGTCATGAGGCCGATGCACCTTCTTACAACCAGAGCGACAATTTTTATAGGTACATGGAATGTCCGAACAATGTGGGAGACCGGAAGAGTTTTCCAAATTGCTGCAGAAATGAGAAAATACAACCTGGAGGTTCTTGGAATCAGCGAAACACATTGGACGCAGGTTGGACAACAACGACTGTCTTCAGGAGAACTTCTGTTATACTCCGGTCATGAAGAAGAAAATGCCCCACATACACAAGGAGTTGCATTGATGCTGTCCAGAAAAGCACAAAATGCACTTATAGGATGGGAATCTCATGGACCAAGGATCATCAAAGCCTCCTTCAGAACAAAGAGAGAGGGCATTACATTGAACGTCATCCAATGCTATGCGCCTACCAATGACTACGATGAAGACGCTAAAGACCAATTCTACGACAGATTGCAGTCGATCGTCGAGAAGTGCCCAACCAAGGACCTGACAATTCTGATGGGAGATCTCAATGCTAAGGTTGGAATGGACAACACTGGATATAAAGACGTCATGGGACGACATGGACTGGGAGAAAGGAATGAAAATGGTGAGATTTTCAAACCTATATGCCTTCAATAAAATGGTCATAGGTGGCACCATATTCCCACACAAAAACATACACAAGGCCACTTGGATTTCACCGGATCACACTACACAGAATCAAATCGACCATATCTGCATCAACAAAAAGTTCAGGAGGGCGATGGAGGATGTGAGAACCAGAAGAGGAGCTGATATAGCATCCGATCATCATTTGCTGGTCACCAAGATGAAACTAAAACTCAAGAAGCACTGGACAACTGTGCGGACAACATCACAAAAGTTTAATACGGCCTTTCTTCGAGATGCTGACAAACTCAACAAATTCAACATAGCCCTCAGCAACAGGTTCCAGGCCTTTCATGACCTACTCAATGGAGAGGGGACTACCATGGAGAGCAACTGGAAAGGTATCAAGGAGGCAATCGTTTCAACGTGTCAAGAGGTTCTGGGCCAAAAGAAGCACAATCACAAGGAATGGATCACTGTTGGTACACTGGATAAGATTGAAGCAAGGAGGAAGAAGAAGGCAGCAATCAACACCAGCCGAACCAGAGCGGAAATTAGAATTTTCAATACAAATGTCAAGAAGTTCTACTGTATGGAGCGGAGACGTGGAGAAATACGAAAGCCATTATCCAGAAGATACAAGTGTTCATCAACAGCTGTCTACGCAAAATACTTCGGATCCGATGGCCAGACACTATCAGCAATAAGTTACTGTGGGAGACAACAAACCAGATTCCAGCGGAGGAAGAAATCAGGAGAAAGCGCTGGAAGTGGATTGGGCACACCTTGAGGAAATCAGCTAATTGCGTCACAAGACAAGCCCTCACATGGAATCCTGAAGGTCAACGGAAAGGAGGAAGACCAAAGAACACATTACGCCGAGAAATAGAGACAGACATGAGAAGAATGAACAAGAACTGGATAGAACTAGAAAAGGAAGCCCAGGACAGAGTGGGTTGGAGAAAGCTGGTCGGCGGCCTATGCTCCATTGATAGTAACAGGCGTAAGTAAGTAAGTAATATATTGACACTTGTTAGTCAAATAGCGATGGAAAATCGTCGTTTTGGCTTCATGTGACTGACATTTTTACAGTCGCCAGTGTTATGGCCAATGTCATCTATTTTATTCCTTAATGATGTCCTTATTTAAATTACTGTATCACCTAACCTATTTACGACTTTAAAATCATATCAGTAATGGCAGATCTAGCAGCTGTTGTAATACGATTGCTCTGAAATTCAGTGGTGTATAATCATGTCTGCCTATATTTTCTTTCAACTAAAATACCGAATACATAAAGTATCTCAGTCAGTCAGCTACAACGTAGGACCATGCACATATATTAATCGGTCCAAGTTACCATACCTCATCAGCACAACAAGATGAACACCGAATTCATAGTAGTTAATTTAATGGTGGTAATGTATAAAAGAAAGGTTATATATAAGGATATAGTACAGGAAGAAAGACAGATATTAAGCAATTTTAATCTCACGGTAAAATGCCTAATTAGCTACTGAAATTTGAGATGTAAAAGTGTTCGTAGCACTGATTAGGGACTACTCAGCTTCAAACATTATAATCCTTTGATAACCACGGAATACTTTTTAAAAAACTGAACTATCAACAGGGTAACTAAATATCTAAACATATCGTACAGAATTTAAGCCATTGAGATGTAAAATATGTGACCGAAATCAATTGATCGTGTTACCTAACAAATACTAATTGATTAATCAAGAATAAAAGTATGAACGTTACAAAACAACAAGTGTTCATTACTTTGCTTGTTTTCTAAACTCATATTCAGTTGATAAATTTTCATATTTCTGTTCATAGTTCACTGGTCTCTAAGCTCATACTAACTTTAAACAAATATTTCTATTCAGAGAACTGCATATGCCATGTGGATTTGATATTTTTCCCCTTGCAGCCAAAGTTTGGTGCTATCCCATTATGGCCTGCTACCGGCGTTGTTAATCTAGTTAAAAACTCCGCTTCACTGTTCTGTTTAAGGCAAGAACATTCTGTGAGTTTTCATAAATTTTGATCGTTGTAAATGTTTGTTGTTTTCCCATTACTTCAACGTTTTCCTTCAGGTTCCTCTGTGTAACTGACTACTTCATTTTCAGATTGATTGCATTATAAAACTTTCTAATGTGGATTGTTTCACTGAAATGCAAGACAATCTTCACTAACTTTATTGGAGTTCATCATCTTATGCTAACGAATATAAGTAACGATCACTTCACTAACTTTATTGGAGTTCATCATCTTATGCTAACGAATATAAGTAACAGCAGTTTGTACGAAACAATAGTAACTTTATGGGTTCACTGAATGTATCAATCTCTAAAATTCACTGGGTAATTTTTCTTTCTAATAATGTGGATATTAGATCACTACACTAGTTAGGACTTGAAAATTATCGAATTTCTACAAAGTCTTAACTTTTCCATTGTAAATTTACTTAAAAAATATTTTCGTATGCAATTATATTTCGAATTAATTTTAGTAGAGGACATGTTTCTAATTTACTTACTTTGACTTCTTTTTACTATCTCTTTCAATCGTGTGAATTGATATCATTAATATAATTATCAACATATAACAGATTAGGTTTCTGACTTTAATTATAGAATCAGCTTTGATTTAGTTATTGATAATTGATTTGAAATAATTGCTTTCACTTGTTTCATACATTCGTATTCCTCAATATTCTTAGACGGAGCGGATAATTAATAAGGATGCATGCTAAACACTAACAGGGGTCATGTTCACTTGTTTTAGTTTCATACTGTAGATATGTTCAAAAATTGATCAGTAGTTTTCCGATGTTTCGAAATTAACTAGGCGATTAAAGTGTTTACCGCATTCACATATACCTGAGTTTCCCAGCACAATAGCGATTTTATTTATTGAAGTATATTTTATACCGCACAGAAACAAATGTTTTGATTGTTGATGTTTTATTAACAATTTTTTAAGTTGTTACTTTGTTTATTTTCAGAGTAAACGATCACGTTGGAAAGACCTGTCAACATATTGTCCTTGTGACCTATTTTCTGGGTTAGTGCTTACATATACTTTATACTTGTTCCGACCTCATTTTTTAGCGAATAATTATTTTATTTAGCATCAATAATTATTCCACTCGTAATATACATCTGCCTAATCGCAGTACCTCGTTAACCTTATGTTCAGTTATCTAAGTAAAAAATAGATCCTTAAATGGATAAGTAAAAGTATGGAGTTACAATCCTAAACAGTTGATTAATTACATACAGCTGTAAGAGAGCAATTTGCAAAAAGAGTGTATGTTTGTTGTGAGAAGTTACAAGGTATTCATATAATATATATACAGTCTTCAATTGTCCATTTGCATATTTCTATGTGTTCTGCCATCTGAACGATCTTCTTGTTTAGTCTCCAAATGTTCTGTCAATCTCGCGGTTTTAACGTACTGAAACTCTCCACTCGGTTTGAAAAATTTTGCTATATACCACTAACAAACAATCATGTGAGTAGCATCCACTGCATAGCCACCTACTGAGTTTGAAAACCTCCGTTTTTACAGCCGACTAGTTGTCATCCATTAAGTTTTATTCACAGTTCTATCTTACAAACTTGTACGTACTAACTGAATCCCAACTGATTGTATTGAACAAAATGGTGATTCACTTTTCTGGCATTTATTATCAATCTGCTGAATGGTTGCTTTAAAATGTTAATGTCATAACGGTTTTTGATAGAAACGATATATTGAAAGATAATTTGACCACAATCGGACTTAACAGATGTAAGGTGAAAATGTTCCTAAGGTTTCAAATTGATTTTTTATTACTTCATGACTTTAGAAATGGTGACCACCATAAACATAACCAAGGATAACCTCGACAGTGTTCAACTTTATATATTTCTTTCTAAGAGCAAAATGTAATTCAATTATTTGTTTTTATTTAGTAAAGTCTTTTATATTATTCCATAGTAATAGTGACAATAATAATAATACTAAAGATCTGTTTGTGTAATGGACTTCCGGTTTACATAGTGGTATATGACAAATAACTAACAAAGTTTTAGTTTGAAACTTAGGTCGTTATGTGGTAAACGAAGAAGTCAGGTGAGAAAGACCAATTTATTGTTTAGTCCAAAATTACAGAGTGCTTTCGTAAAAGATGATAACCATACATTAAATACATTATTTTCACATCTTTCTTCAGTTGTCTTTTATATACTTTACGGTTGGTGTTATACACTACTTATATCTGTAACATATATCACACTTGTCCCTCTTTTAAACGAAAGTCACTCGAGGTCGTTCTGCTCTCCGTGCCACATACTTTGTCTCAGCCTGTGCTATGCCTCCCGCCGAAATGTTGAGTCCGCTAGCGCTCTTACCTCCTTAGCAATGTCGATTTGCCGGGCTATTTAAGTCCGATGTCCTCTCAGCAGCCGGATGTCCCACTTCTTCCAGTCAAAATCGACTACTACAAACAACTCCGCCCTGCCAGAACACTCCACTCGACATTTCTTTCCTGAATCAAACCGCACCAAGTAACAACTCTTCCGTCCCCGCAATGGTTTCCTAAAAACTGCACTCTCTCCACCTCCCGTTCGGCAGCGACACCAAATTTGTTGAGAAAAAACTAATTATGGTGAACCAATTTGTTGTTCAATCCAAAATTACAGAGTGCTTTCGTAATAGATGATAACCATACATTAAATACCTTATTTTCACACCTTTCTTCAGTTGTCCTTTACATGCTCCACGATTCTTTCAGTTCTGTTGTTATTACAGTTACTTTCTGTTCTTTTCAGTTGCATCTTCTCAATCTTCTGCTGGCAGGCATTTCATTTCCTGTTTGTGTCACATACTACTTATATCTTTCAACATAAGTAACATACATCACAGTTAGATGTCAAGAGGTTTTCTTAAAAAAAACATGATGCTCCTAATAATTGAAACTCCATTGGAAAGGTCTCGAGATCTCTGCATTTATGTTCTTTCTTGATCTGGTCAATCAAAGTCAAAGTATTGTTTGATGTGACGCTTCAAAAGTTTTGAAAACTACACGATCAATTGTAACTCTTGATTTCTATACAACTAACCTTAATAACAAATACCCAATCATTCTTCATGTCTACTTACTCACTTACTTACGCCTGTTACCCCTCATAGAGGAGCGTAGGCCTCCCACCAGCATTCTGCATCCGACCCTGTCCTGGGCAATCCTTTCCAGTTCTTTCCAGTTGTTATTCATCCTTTTCATATCTGCTTCTATTTTTTGGTGTAATGTGTTCTTTAACCTTCCTCTTTTCCGTTTCCCTTCCGGATCCCAGGTTAGGGCTTGCCTCGTGATGCAGTTTGGGGATTTCTTTAATATATATCTGACCCACTTCCAACTTCTTTTCCTAATTTCCTCTTCAGCTGGAAGCCGGTGTGTCCTCTCTCATAAAACACTGTTGATGATGGTATCCAGCCAGTAAATGTTGAGTATTTTGGGTAGACAACTGCTTATGAATACTTGTACCTTCTTGACGATGGTCGTAGTAGTTCACGTTTCAGCTCACTACAGTAGGACTGTTTTGACGTAAGTATTGAAGGTTCTCACTTTGAAGTTAGTTGACAGTTGTTTTGAGTCCCATATGTTCTTGAATTGTAGGAATGTTGACCTTGCCTTGTCAATCCTCGCCTTTACGTCTGCATAAGATCCTCCTTGTTCATCAATGATGCTTCCCAGATACGTGAATGTTTCTTCATCAAGTGTGATTGGGTTGGTGATCTCCGTGTTTTATTTGAGAATCCTGTTTTTTCCTTTGTGTATGTTGAGGCCTATTGATGCAGAGGCTGCTGTTACATTTTTTTTCGTCATCTGTATTTGTTCGTGTGTGTAGAAAGCAATTTCCTACAGGGGTAACTTTAAGCTATTCTCTAAACTGTCGAATACAGAGTCTTGGTTTCGCCAAAGTCAAAACAAGTAAGCTATTTGGCTTAATAAACTTTATCTGTTTCTAAAACGTAAATTAACAACATTAGTATACGAATAAACAGTAGTCTATTACATAGGGAAAAGGTGAAATATAAATGACATACCGAACAGTAAGTGGAGAATAAGAAAAATGAGTCAAAGGGGAGAATATTGTTCCAGAATGAACATAAAATTGTAATTGGTGGATAAAACAAAGACAGTCATACAAGGTCAAAGAATTTAGTGCGGTGGTGAGCGTTTCACCTATCATTGGTGTGTTCACTTATCGATCACACTTTACACTCCCCCCGAAACGCGAACCACGTATGTCGCCGTCAGATAACCGGCTTCTTCCAATAGACACAGGCTTCGCAAATCCCGAAGATTTCTTCGTTTGCCATTCTCAACCTTGCTGTACAAACTCGTCTGTCAGGGCCGTAGCTTACTTGTTCGACAATGGCTTTAGGCCATAGACGTCTGCTCGTTTCAACGTTACCCACGAGAACTAGGTCGCCGGGTTGTAGATTTCTGCGTACGTTTAACCATTTATCTCTTGTTTGAAGAGTCAGTAGATATTCTCTTATCCACCTATACCAAAATGGGGTAGTTAATCTTTGAGTTTCTTTCCATCTTTTATTGTATAATAAAGTCTTATCCACAGAAACATCGCCGGATGATAATCCTTTGTAAGTCAACAACGATTTGTCCGGTATAAGAGCCTCTAGGGTGCCAGGATCATCCGTCATTTTAACTAGTGGTCTGTTATTTAGTATCCTTAAAGCTTCATCGACCGGCGCACTTTGAAATAAAAGCGCTCTTAGAATAGTCCAATAGATGACCGATGAAATGGAAATATTTAACCGTTCTTTTGCATACTTGCCGACTTTAGTACAAAGAGTACATACTGTTAATTCCATTCTGGTTAGGTTTCCATGATACTCACGAACTTTGAAACATGATTCTTTTGTTCGGATGTTCCACTCGATTCCCAGAGTTCGCTTACTCGTCCCATTAGACTCGCAGACGGTAACGTTTCCTTCAGTACGGTCTTCCTCTGGGTCGAACTCCAACACTTCAATATTATTGCTAGTCCATTTAGTTAAATTATATCGTCCCAAACTTATGAGTCTTTTAAGATGTGAATACGTCAGTTTAGCTTCTTCTATAGCATCCATACCTAACAATAAGTTGTCAAAATAAAACTGTCCCTTAGCTAAGTGCGTAACAACCCTGAGAAATTCATCTTGATTGTCAGAATTCGTTTTCTGCAAGGCGAACGTGACGCTACATGGCAATGAGGTTGCTCCGAACAGACAGACTTTCGTTCTATAGATCTCTGACTCCTTTTCTAAGTCCCCACCTGGCCACCACAAATACCTAAGAGCATCTCGATCATGCACCGGAACTACTACTTGATGGAACATGGCTTCAATGTCCGTCGTAAGACCTATCGGTCGTTGCCGAAACCTGGTAAATACGTCTACTAGGTTATTGACTAAATCAGGTCCAGAATAAAGATTCTTGTTTAAAGACGTTCCAGCATACTGAGCTGCACAATCAAAAACTATTCTTAACTTGTTAGGCTTCTTGGGATGAAAGACAGGGTGATGAGAAAGATACCAAATTCGTCCATCAACGTGGTTATCGTTTACCTTTTCAGCATAATCTCGTTCTATATACTGAGTCATAGTGCTCGTATAGTCTTGGAGCAACTTCGTATCCCGAATAAGTCTACCTTTTAAACAGTTAAGTCTACGTTCTGCTAATTTCTTATTATTAGGTAACTTGTGTTCGTGCCTCCAAGGCAGAGCTATTCGATAGTGCCCATTTAACCTTTGCACTGAATTTGATATAACACTGAGTGCTATACAGTCTTCTACAGACATCGACGTAGTACAACTAAATGGATCTTTGAATTCGGTTGAGTACAGTTGTTCAAACTTATCCTCTAATTCCTCTTTATCTGAGAGGTAATTAAGTACACGTTTGTTTCCATGAAGTTCCCCGTAGGGACCAAACAACGTCCAACCTAATAGAGTCCTCACGGCAGACGGTTCATTTGTGTTTCCGGTTCTTATCTCTTTCATCTCGTGTACA